GAATTAAAAAAGAATATTTTTTTTTAATGTTTCTTCACACAAATTCTTTCTATTATAAATTTTTCATATGCTCCTCTCCACTGAACCACAGTTGTCTTACCTCACTGGAAATGTAAAGGTTGTATTTAGCCTGACAGGGCTCAGGGTTGAAAGTTGTACTTAAAGTCAGAAAAAAACCATAAACTCTACAAGCTTATCTAGACCTGTAGTGAGAGATGTATCCAAAGCATTCAATTCATGATTCCTATCAGGGAATTAAGTTTATTTGTTCCCATGGTGAAATCTTATTATTTTGCTGTCACCATAATTTTTGCATGCCCTGGATGATAAACTCATAATAAAAAAATGAGATACTAAACCACAGAACACTTGCTGTTGTGACTGATAAAAATGTACATTGCAGCTGGGGCAAGACTTAAAACCACCTCTGCTTTTGTACAAGTATTTTAATTTGTTGCTAACATTCAAACAAGGTAGCAGTGACAGGGTCGATTGCAGTGGTCCTCTGGTAGCAATGTCTGGTGTCTGCTGGTGATACACCTTCTGCAATTATTAAACTGCATTATTCACATTTGTTCCAAGCAGGGCTTCATAACACCTGGAGTGTGTGAAACAATTCTGTATAGGTGCGGCTTGTTGCTTTGCTGATAACAGTACATTTTTTTAGAAAACCAGAAATATGATCCTCTGTTCTGAAAATAGCAGCCTCAACCAAAATGCATGCGTTGCAAATGTTTTTGCTGGCAGAAACAGGCAAACTGAGGCCATGGAAGGTGGTTTGGTGCCAACCCCACTGTTAGAAACTGCATATTAGCAAAAGTGTTTTCATTTTCTGAACGTTTTTGTTGTTCAGCTGCAAGTTTCTGTGATAATGACATTGTCAATACAACACTTTCCGTGAAGTCAGAAACTGAGAACTCTGACATGAGGGTTCTGGATACTAAAATGTAATGGTAAGCCAAATTTGCCTTTCATTCCCTAGTAATGGAATTTTAAAATTAATTATGAAATAAGATTTCCTAAGGTGAAAAAGTGATAAACTGCTTTTTTACCAGTTTTAAAATTCGTTTCATTCTTTTTGTAATGAAACAGGTTCTCTGCTATGCAGGATGGCTGTGTGCCAAGATGGAGAAGGTGTGATTGCAGTGTTTCAGCTGAAGGGCAGTACTGAAGAGCACAACATGGCAACCTCTTTAACTGCTTCAGTATGATCTGAAAATCATTTAAAAGAAAATAAAAATGAGGCAGCGTGGCGTAGATTTCTTTTTCCCCTAAGAGGCAAATTGTTAATTTAAAAAATTTGAGACCAATTCTTTTGTGCTATAACTTTATTGACTTTATTTGGGCTGTACAGGGGATAAATTTGTCCCGCTACTGTGAGATCTGTGTCCTGAATTGCAAAATGCCTTCTGGGACCTGTAATAACCTTGTTTATATTTGAAACTGCAGAAGATTTAGTCATTTCATCCTTGGTAGCAAGAGTTTACACTGTCAATTAGAAGAATTTTTAACTAAGCGATTATTTTGTCTTCTGACTGCATAATTTCTTTTTTGTTATTCGTTAGTGCAGATATTTACTTCCCATTTTTCTATTTCAGTTGTCCCATATGTCTGATGGAATAAAAATTGTCTTATATTTGCTCTCTGAAATATTTTTATTCTGTTCAGCTGAAACACTAACACAGATGTTATTTTCTCTCTAATTAGCATGTTTATATTTCTGTTAAATTAAGTAACTGCAATAGTGCATATTTAAATATCATACAGCAAGTGTTAATGGCAAACTATTTTGTCCTCTGAATGTTACCTTAGGCTACAATAATTGCAAATTACATGAGATTATGTTCTGAATCCAGTCCAAGTTCAACTCAGTCTTTAAGTGTGTTCAAATGAAAGGTACTTCTGATTCTTTCTGCTTAAATAGTTGACTGCTGTCCATGTGGATGTCCAGAAGATCCAGTTTGATCCCTGGCACACAGGGGGAAAGGAGGATGACTTTGTTGCAATTTTGTGATTTCTTGTTTCTTAGGTGCCAGTAAATCATTTCAGAGGGTTTTTTTTTTCCAAAATGGGTTACCATTTTCCGCAATTCTTGTCCACCTGAAGAACACTACCAGGCATATTCTTTATCCCATGGAGGTCAGGTGAATTTGGAATAAACCTGCTTCTCTGGGCCTTACATTAATGCATAGTACTTAAGGAATGAACTCATCCAAACTCTCTTTTTGCAGTTTCTTAGTGGTGCTAAAGAACCTTCTGAATATTTTTGGTCTCTTCCTTCCTTTTTATTATGTTGTGACTTCTTAGTGGAGTAGCCAAGACAAAGAGAAGTGGTAACTTGTTATGAAGTAGGAATGTAGAGGGATGGAATCAAAAAGCTTTGACGTGAACTTTGCTCCAGCTACTCTTGCCAGCCAAGGATTTTATGTGGTACACCACAGCCTCTGTGAAGGCACACAGTGTACTCTCAGAAGCAGTTCAACCTAGAAGTTGGGCAATGTAACATGTTTATAATAGCTAAAACCTGGTGGGAATGCCTTTTGGCTTTTGAATACTGCATGCACCTTTTAAAAAATGTATGATGTTCTGAAATTGAGATATACTTAAAATTAAGTAAAAGGTACTGTCCAGAGAGTCTGGTGAGATGCACAAATAAAAATGAAGAAAGGGTGAGATGTGGTCGTGGCATAGCTCCCATTGACTTCACTGTGTTACTTTAGTAACTGTGGTCTTTTCCTTCCTCCACAGTGGTCCTCGACCATGCTTGTGTCCTCTGAGAGTTCTTAGAAGTGAGGTCCTCTCCTCTACCCTTGGGGATAACAACATGAATAGAAATATACAAAAACATGGTCCTTTTTCTGTAGGAAAAATCTGTTACTTCGTAGTTGGGAAAATATTTTTCAGGCATAATTCTAAGAATCTATCATAAACATAAAAACCACATGCACTTTCAGTTAATGCACATGAAAGCCAATTTTTTTTTTAAATTACAGTAACCACATTTTTTGATATTAAGTATGTTTTACATTGATTCAATATGTTGATCTATTTCACCATCTTTGTACTTTCCACAACTGGCTGGAGTCCCACTCTGCAGCGAAATAGGATATGCAATCTGCTTGGGATTGGTACAGAAACTGTGTGCAGACATCTGCCCAGCCATCAATAACTCTCAGGAAAGGAAGCTGCTTTCAGCATGGGTGTTTTGTGCTTGACATTGGAGTATTCCTGTTTATTCACCCATTTATGGGTGAATAAAGTATCAGACTGACAGAATTAAGTATCTGACTGCAAGTAGCAGGAAACATATGTGAATAAAACTGTGCGCCACTAGGGGATTCTTAGCCTGTTTCTGGTTACTTTTAATGCTTCTGAGAAAATTTCTAACTTGCATATTTCCCCCCAAATGGGTATGTCCTGTAAGTTCTGCAGTTTCATCCCCTTTCAAAGCAGTAGAGAACTGTTTCCAGTGACACTTTTCAGAAACAACTGGTGAAAGATATTAAGCGTGCTGGCAGCTTCTTACTACACCTATGTGTAAAGCTGTAGATTCTTCTGAAGAATCAGATGGAAGAAGGTTTGTGAGGAGGCATGTGGCAGAGCACTGACTTGAGTTGGCTTTCTTGTCTGGAGTCAAGTCTGCAGCAGAGTCTAGGTAGTTTTATTTTTGTCTGCTCTGTGGTATTTTTTCCTCTGCTCTCATGGTGAGAACTCTCCAGTGGTTTCAACTATTACACATATGTGCATGATTCTCCATTTTCATAGATATAGTTGGATGAGAGACCCATTTTAAGAAGCTTAAACAGTTTGCAGTTCTGCAGCTGGCAGTTACCATCATTCAGCTAGAACACTACAGTCATAAATGCCATAACTTGCAGCTCTGAATGCTCCTATTCTGTTTCAATGCCAAGTGAAACAGATTTAGGAATCTCAAGTTGGTTTAATCTAATCTTTTTAATCTTTCTGTGGGTTATATATTGATCTTCTTTACACTGATGTGGACTACTAGTTGCATTCATGCAGTCAGAGTGAGAATCTCAGCACAGGGACAGTGTCTTGTCAAACAGCTTTTGGCTAAGCTACAATTGAGAATTTCTTTCTACTGTTTGCTTTTCTTTTTCCTTTGCAACCCTTGGTAATCTCACTGGCATTCTGAGCTCCCAAATCTGCAGCCACATCCTTGCAGGAAGGATAAGAATTTCTACATCTTGGTCCACATCAACATCAGCATTTTAGACCTGATCAAGAGTGTACTTTTGCAGGGAATCTCCTTACTGCAGTTGGATACAGGACCCGGATTCTCTTAGGATAAGACTAAAGTGAAAATTCCTTCCATGGGACCAGATTAGGCCTGAACTGAAATACCAGCTCCTGAACTGATTTTATAGAGCACAGCAGGGTGTTAGAAACACCTGATTCACTTAATAAACCCACTGTCATCGTTTTGCACAGGTTGCTACTGCAGACATCCTGCAATAGGACAATTACACAGTTTTGTCTCCAACCAAATTCTGGTTCTATCTGGGTCTTTTTTAGTAACTCCAGTGGAATGGGATCAGCAAGTATTTACCAAGGCTGTGCCCTAACTCCATTTGACAGTTACAGGATGTTTCCTACAACCACCAGGAATGACCTTTTCCTATTAAATGCAAGACAACTTCCTAGCATTGACATTCTTGCAATACCTTTGTGAAATAGAAAGGCTGAAAAAACTGGTATTAGTTAAAGGATGCATCAGCATGTGTGACATAACTCTAGGGATACAATCCTGCCTCTGGATATTTCTAGTAAGACAGATAAGTGTTTTGCAAATATATGTAAAATAAAATATATATCATTTAATTGTGTTCAGAATTCTCTGAACTGGATTGAAGTTGTACTTTCCTATAAAGGAATATGGAGAGTATTTTAACAGCTTTGGCAAGTTATCTTTTCTTTGTTTATAACCCTTAAATGTGTACATCAGTATTATGTCTTAATATTATATTTATTTACTGCAGGGTGTTGGGAAAAACAAGGTTGTTGACAGATTCCTTCACCTTCTAAACAGGCCCAGAGAGTATTTACAGCTGCATAGGTAAGAATGTGTTAGATTTTCATCCTTTATGTTTTCAGTCTAATTTCTCATGTTTTAAAACTCATGTTTCTGAAGTTTAATGTGTTCTTACTGTTTGAACAAAGACCCTATTATGGTAAGTGGCACACAGACCACAGGACTGTGTCTGGCAGAGGCAATAAGCTGACAGGTTGAGGAGGGGATGGGTACAAGAATATAATGCAGTCACATTGTTTAATATAAGAGGAAGTAGAAGTCAGAGAATACTGATGTTAACTTGGTTCAAGAAGTGAGTAATATATTTTGCTGTCATTTCTGGAGAAATTTCCCTAAGCATGAGGTACTGTGTGAGGGAAGAATTCAAAGGTGCTTGTTTGAATATATCACTCATCAGACAAAAAAATTTACATAATAAAGGCTTTTTAGCTTTTTTCCTTTGGCACTTGTGCTAAATGCATGTATTTCTTTCTCACCCATAAACATTTGGATTAGAAAATTACATTACAAGCTAAAAAATGGACTTCAAGACAATAAACCAATTGAAAACAATTCAAAAGATGAAATAATAGCAAATTATCTACCTGCTTTTTATGACATGAGCTTGAAACCAATAAATTGAAATAAAAAATAAATATGTCTAGAAGACTCATTTTTCATTGAACTGCATCCTATTTCAGCTTCATTCTTAGTTCTTACCTCTCTGTCTTCAACTTCCTAGCTTCATCACTCTGTCTCCTTTCATTATCACTGTTTTTTAAATAGTGCTAATAAAAACATTGATCTTTGGTATTCTGCCTTTTAATAAGACAATCTCTGTAACACTTTCACTCTCACTTTCTCACCCATTTGTCTTCAAATGTCTTATATTTGTATTCCTGCTGGTTGGATAGCTCTATCTCGCTACTTTTCTACTGCTGTTTTCCTTTATGCTACCTCTTCTAGTCTTCCATCACTTCTCTGTGAAATACTGCTTTTGTGACCTCCTACTTTCAGTTTTGCGTTAACTTTCCTGCTGTCTTCTCTGCTTGGAGAAGCCACCCACTCCTTACAGATAAAATACACTGACATTTTTGCAAATCACAATTATTTCACAAAGTATTTCCGTCTGTCTGTGTGTTCTCCAGTGAGATGTGATCAAGCAGAACAGTGCTTTAATATGAATTCAGATAGTTCAGGAGAACATTGTATAAGCACAATGTTTGGGGTGATGATGGGGCTGTAGAATGTATTCGTTTCAGCATGCTAGTTGATGCATCACTAGGAAAAAAAATGTGCTTTTATTGTCTTGTCAATACAATCTTCTATAGTTTCTGTAAAACACTGTTCACGATTGCAAGGTTTTAAAGATAGATTGAAGTAGAAAATAAAGCAGAAAATGATGAGCAGTCCTACAAAAATAATTTGTGAATATAGAAACCTGAGAAATCTATTTCCTAGGTAGCATTTTGGAATTCTTTGTGAAGAACTCAGTCTATATAATACTTTGCTTAACTTTACAGGGCTTTTAAACAAGGATTACAATATTACTAGTGCAGACTTCTGGATTGCAAAACAAAATAAGAGCAAGTTTACAAAAAAAACCCAACAGTTCACTAGTAAGCTGTTACATACTTAGTGGGGAAAAATTCAGTCAGTGTCTTATGGCATAGAAGTATTTTATTAGAAAATATGCTGGAATGTGCACTTCATCTTTGATAACCCTATGCGTTTCTGCAGATTTCCTAGCTACTACCTTTAAGCATGCCAAGGAAAGTATTTGTAAACATAATACTTTCAATGGTGCTCATATACCTGAATTACAGATACTAAGAAATAGAACATTCCAAGTATGCATTGTAGTTGATTACCTTGTAAGGGAAAAGGATAATTTTAATGCTTTCTTCATGAAAAATGTGAAGGCAATTCCCTATAAGATGAAGGTGGATTTTCTCTGCCCTTTCAGAAATATGTCTGACAGATGGCACTGCATTAGTCCTTGAATTTTGATTTACAGACTCTCTAGTTCCACTTCAACTAGTCTCTCTGGAAATGAGTGTGCACTTGCCAGCTGCATATTCTGAGACTCTGAGTTTCAAAGAGGTGGTGAATCTATCAGAAAATGGCTGACATCATGAGTTCCTGAATTTGTCCATATCGACTGTCACTTCATACAGTTAGCTACAGAATGAGTAATAGGCACATATGTAGGGTAATGCCAGTATGGAATGGGTTTCCCAACTGAATAATGTCTTCTGTGGAGAAGAGAGAGATATATCCTTAGCTATAAATATTCTTGTTGCTGGGTATAATGAAGATGTAGCCAGAGAAGAAACTACGACAGTGGAAAGAGAGAAGAGTTTTGAAATTAATATACTAAAGGTCTTTAATAAAATGTAGTGTTATGTAATAAATAAAAGTAGCAAATAAATAACAGACAAAAATAATTATACTGAATTTCAGAAGTATTCTGATCTATGAATCTAATCACCATTTTTTGAAAAATGTTTCTTTAAATGCTATTTAAATGCCAGAATCATGAAGATATTCCACATTTACTTTTAATAGCTTGTGAATAAGAGGGAAACACACTGTCGTGTAGATTAATACAGTTTGTTATGCAGTGTAATTGTCTTTTATAGAAGAATACCTCACCTCTTTTGACTAAAAACAGGAATATAAGAGAACTAAAAATGCTATTAAATCTGTTTTGGTTTTAGTTGTTGATTGTTTGGTTATGGTGGGTTTTTTTGTTGGTTTGAGGGGTTTTTTTGCTGTCTTGATGAAACAGTGTAAGGAGTTCTGCTGATCTAACTCTACATATGTTCAATGACATTCAAGGAGGGAGTGTTTGCCTTACGCAATGAGCTATTACCAGGAGTAATTTTAAAATCTCACATTTTATAACATACTTCAAGATGATGAGAGGAGATAAAAGACAGAAAAAATAGTGTATTTTTCCTTAAACTTCCTTTCTGACATCTGTATTTACTTGCAGTGCAACTGATTCACATGGGAAGAGTCAGCCTGACCTTAAGGTTTCAATTCCTTATGGAGGTTTTGAATCCTTTTCCTTAACCTTTTTTACAGCACCTCATTGAGAAATTCAATTTTCTTGAAATTTGTAAGTCTTATAAATCATTTTGGTACCATAAAACAGAAAATTTTAATGAAAGGAAGCTGTGATTAGATTCAATAATAACAGACATTAAGAAAAATGTTTGCTTAAAAATTAGTCAAAAAATTGGCTGCTTCCTCTTGAATACTTTCTAATATTAGGAGCTGATCAGGAGTCGACCAGCCCTCTCATCACATTAATTGTGGAGTTATAGAACTCTTTCTTGAAAAGGTAATAGGTGGAGGCTCAGCACAGCCTCTCTCTAGGACTACACTTACAAAGCATTTTACTGCTTTTCTGTGTTAAGGAAGAACTTTCATCTGCCAGGATTCCCCTGTCACTCCTTTCCTACAAGAGTAAATTTCAGCAGAGAAATCCTAAATTTTGTTTACCCTCCTGGGATGGTTGTCTCCATTTTGTCCACCCGGGACGCTGTCTACATGTAACAATAAACAACAGCTTTGCCTTGTCTAATACAGAATTCAGGGGTTTACTGCTTCCACCTTGAGCATGCATTCCTCATGCTACTAGAAAGGTGAAAATGTATGAGACTTGTGCAGTTACAAGCCAATGAGAGATCTTTATAGAAATTCAACATGTACTGGTTTTACAGCCAGTAACTAAGAAACTGGCTGTAAGAAACTTTGATGTTCTCCAAGTACATGTAACACAGGGTCAAGTGTTGTTGCGGCAGTCAAGAAAAACACAGAAACAGTCTTCTTCCAAAAAGAATAGCATAGGATAGGATAGATTTTTATTGCAACAGATCTCTGACATTTGTACTCCCCGGTGTAACGTACATGTTGCATTATAATTGGTGTTTCTTCATAAGCATACATCAGGATTGGTTGCCCTATAGCAAACTCACGATGATTCAGCATTTGCAGACTCACAGTCACTTGCTCTTGCAGGCTCATGATGACCCTGCAGAAAGTTCAGAATATCCACTTTCGAAGCTCTGTCTTCCTTCCGACAGACCTGCTGTCAACCCCAACAGTCAAGTATTTCTGTTGCTCCTAAATTAGTGAACTCTGGAAAGCCTCATCCTTTTGTGAACGTTTCTGTTACTACTTTTGCTATCTCTCACATGGATCACGCTGAAAGAATTCGCTAGTGGTTCTACACAAAAATCTAAAGTTAAATTTGGTATTTCATTGAAACAGGAAAAAGATTTTAATGGAAACTGATAATCATAGAATCATAGAATATCCTGAATTGGAAGGGACCCAAAAGGATCATTGAAGGCCAGCTCCTGGCTCCGCACAGAACCACCTCAAATCACACCATGTGCCTGAGAGCATTTTCCAAACATTTCTTGAACTTTGTCAGGCTTGGTGCTGTGACCACTTCCTTGGGGAGCCTGTTCCAGTGCTTAACCACCCTGTGGCTGAAGAACCTTTTCCTAATATCCAACCTAAACCTCCCTTGACACAGCTTCGTGCCATTCCCTCAAGTCTTGTCACTCGTCACCAGAGAGATGAGATCAGTACCTGCCCCCCTCCTTCCCCTCATGAGGATATCTTCTTTTATTATTCTTTGCTATGTATTTGTTTGTTTGTTTATTATTATTATGATTATTATTTTTATTATTATTATATCTTGCTTTTTTATGTCTCTCATGATAATATCTTGCTTTCAATTACAAAGTTCCTTAAACCAAGAAGATTCCACAGAAAGAAGAAAAGAAAAGTAAAACTTTAGGGAATATGCAGACAAGAACCTGTGCCCTGTTAAGACTATAAAATCCTTCTTAGCAATTATGAGAGTAATAGATAAATATAAAACTGTAAGCTCCCAGCTCTCCTGCATTAAAATGTCAGAAGGAAGTATCATGAACTTTGAACTGTTGTCTACTTTGATGTGATCAGAGAAAAAAAAGATTAGTTTTACTTCTCTTATCATCAAATTAGTAACTAATTGCATGCAA